TCGTACAACAAAATCCAACACCATTTTCAGTGTACATTATGATTATGAAAATAAAACGCAAACACACATCCTTCACATCCTATTCAATTGAATGGAAAACCCCTGATATTGCATGAATATTGTACTAGACAGTAGAATTCAATAGAGCTCCTGCCCTGGGATAGAAGTTGTTTTTCAGCCTATTTGTCCTTGTTTTTATTATTATCCTGCACCGTCTGCCAGGTGGTAATAGTTCAAAAAAAGGGGTTCCCAGGATGAGATGGATCTTTGAGGATGTTTTGAACTCTCTTAAGGCAGAGGGAGCTCTAAAGCTCTTCCAAAGAGGGGAGAGGGCCGCCCATGATCCTCTGGGCAATGATGTTAACCCTCTGGAGTGCTGTCCTATCTGCCCCGTGCAATTGGCAAACCATACAGAGATGGAGTAAATTAAGATACTCTCTATGGTACAGCGGTAGAAGGTCCCCAGCAGTTTTCCATCCAGTTGTTTGTTTCCTGAGAAGCCTCAGGTAGTAGAATCTCTGTTGGGCCCTTTTGACCAGGGCTGCAATGTGAGCCCCCCCAGGTCAGGTCCTCTTTTAGGGTAACACCCAGAAACTTAAAACTGGCCACTTGCTCCCCTCGGTCTCCATGGATAAGCCAGGGCTGGAGGTCTGATCTGTTCCTTCTATAGTCCACTATCAGCTCCTTGGTCTTATTGGTATTGAGGACCAAATTATTGTCTCCAAAAGCAACTGTTGGTCCACCTCATCTCGGTAGGCAGACTCACACACACACACACCAGAGATAAGTCCCACTTTGTGTGAATAAAGTGTGAATAAAGGCCCCAAGGCCCTTTTTTTCAGTGCCGTTGCAACTTAGAACGGTCACTAAACGAATGCTTCACAGTTAGTCCTCAACTTACAACAGTTCAACTTAGTGGCTGTTTGACGTTACAAAACAGCACTGAATAAAGTGACATGACTTTATTTGTCACAGTTTACAACCCCTGTGTCAACTATAAAAAGAGGATCATGGTGTCAGGGTTCCGGCAGTTACTCCAATTAAATCATGAGCCTTGAGTCACAACTCCCAAAACTGTCAAGGATTTATTTGAAGGTGACATTCTACATCCGGTCATACGAGGCCTGAAGCAACGGATGGAAACTAATCAAGGAGAGAAGCAACCTGGAATTAAGGGAAACTTCTTGCCAGTGAGGACAATTAACCAGTGGAACTGCTTGCTACCAGAAGTTGTGGGTTTCATCACTGGAGATTTTCAAGAAGAGATTGGACAGCCCACTGGTAGAACAGTGGGTTGGACTAGAAGATCTCTGAGGTCCTTTCCAGCCGAGTTGGAATCCTGGGAGTGGAAGTCCACAACTCTTCCAAGTTGCCAAGTTTGGAGATCCTTTGATAGAGTACGAAATGGGTTTATTGGTGGCCGCTGGAGGTTTTATAAGAGACTGGACAGCCACTTGCTAGCTCACAACAACTCTTGAGAGGTGGGTTTGGGCTGAGAGAGAGGGACTGGCCCATAGTCACCCAGTTGTTTTTCATGCCTAATATGGGACTAGAACTAATTTATCTCCTGGCAATTGGCCCAAAGTCACCCAACCATCTTACATGCCTAAGGCAGAACTAGAACTCGCTGTCTCCTGGTGATTGGCCCTGAATCACCCAGTTGGGTTCCATGCCTAAGGCGGGACTAGAACTCACTGTCTCCTGGTGATTGGCCCTGAATCACCCAGTTGGGTTCCATGCCTGAGGTGGGACTAGAACTCATTGTCTCTTGGTGATTGGCCCTGAATCACCCAGTTGGGTTCCATGCCTAAGGCAGGACTAGAACTCCCCGTCTCCTGGTGATTGGCCCTGACTCACCCAGTTGGGTTCCATGCCTAAGGCGGGACTAGAACTCATTGTCTCCTGGTGATTGGCCCTGAATCACCCAGTTGGGTTCCATGCCTAAGGCGGGACTAGAACTCACTGTCTCCTGGTGATTGGCCCTGAATCACCCAGTTGGGTTCCATGCCTAATATGGGACTAGAACTCACTGTCTCCTGGTGATTGGCCCTGAATCACCCACTTGGGTTCCATGCCTAAGGCGGGACTAGAATTCATTGTCTCCTGGTGATTGGCCCTGAATCACCCAGTTGGGTTCCATGCCCAAGGCGGGACTAGAACTCACTGTCTCCTGGTGATTGGCCCTGAATCACCCAGTTGGGTTCCATGCCTAAGGCGGGACTAGAACTCACCGTCTCCTGGTGATTGGCCCTGAATCACCCACTTGGGTTCCATGCCTA